CACAGAAGATAATTTATCATCTAATGAACATCCATTTTCACGTGCATATTTTAAAATTTCTAAATTACCTCTTTCTGTAGCTTCAATAGTTATACCATTATCCCATTGACATCCATTTTCGTAAGCGTATTTCAAAATTATCAAATTATTTATTTTGACAGCGGCGAATAGTGTACTTACTTCCCATGGACATCCATTTTCATGTGCATATTTTAAGCAATCTAAATTACCTCCTAGAGCAGCAAATCTACTTATGCTTTCATTCCAGTGGCACCCATTTTCATGTGCATATTTTAAACATTCATAATGTCCATTCAAAGCAGCATTACTTGTTGTTTGTTCATTCCATGTACAGCCATTTTCATGTGAATATTTTAAGCATTCTAAATGTCCAAATGTTGCAGCTTCTGTTGTTGTATTTACATCCCATGGACATCTATTTTCATGTGAATATTTCAAGCATTCTAAATGCCCATTTGATGCAGCTGCACTTGTCGTGCTTACATCCCATGGACATCCATTATCATGTGCATATTTTAAACATTCGAAATGTCCATTTGCAGCAGCTTCTCTAGTTGTGTCTTTGTCCCAGCTACAGCCATTTTCATATGCATATTTTAAACATTCTAAATGCCCATTTGCAGCAGCAGCGCTTGTTGTGTTTTTATCCCATTTACAACCATTTTTATGAATATATTTTAAATTTTCTAAATTACCATAACTAGCAGCTGCTATCATTGTGCTTACATCCCATGGGCATCCATTGTCATGTGCATATTTTAAACATTCGAAATGTCCATTTGCAGCAGCTTCTCTAGTTGTGTCTTTGTCCCAGCTACAGCCATTTTCATATGCATATTTTAAACATTCTAAATGCCCATTTGCAGCAGCAGCGCTTGTTGTGTTTTTATCCCATTTACAACCATTTTTATGAATATATTTTAAATTTTCTAAATTACCATAACTAGCAGCTGCTATCATTGTGCTTACATCCCATGGGCATCCATTGTCATGTGCATATTTTAAACATTCGAAATGTCCATTTGCAGCAGCTTCTCTAGTTGTGTCTTTGTCCCAGCTACAGCCATTTTCATATGCATATTTTAAACATTCTAAATGCCCATTTGCAGCAGCAGCGCTTGTTGTTCTTCTGTCCCATTTACAGCCATTTTTATGAACATATTTTAAACAATCTAAATTACCATATTTTGCTGCAGCTTCGATTGTCCCTACATCCCATGGACATCCATTTTCGTGAGCATATTTTAAAATTATTAAACTGTTTATTTTGACAGCGGCAAATATTGTACCTGCATCCCAGGGATACCCATTTTTATGTACATATATTAAACAATCTAAATTACCACCTATAACAGCAGCTCTAGTTATTCCTCTCTTAAAGGGGCACCCATTTTCATGTGCATATTTTAGACATTCAAAATGTCCATTAGTAGCAGCAGTACTTGCTGTCGTTTTATCCCATGTACAGCCATTTTTATGAATATATATTAAGTTTTCTAAATTACCATATTTTGCAGCTGCTTCGGTTGTGCCTACATCCCATGGACATCCATTTTTGTGGGCATATTTTAAGCATTTTAAATGACCGTTTTCAGCAGCTTCAATAGTCGTATATTCATCCCATTCACAACCGCTCTCATAAGCTAGTTTTAATGTTTCTATATCACCAATTTTAGCAGCTTTTCTTGTCGTACCTTTTTGAAATTGGCATAAATTTTTCTCACGCGAATATTTATTTTCAATACCTAAATTAGCAAAATAATTAATTTTTTTTTATTGTGTTCATATAATAATTAAATTACTTTAAATATTTCGATTAAATATGCTGTTATTAAATAAAAAGTAAAAATATTTAATAATTAAAACTTTTTTTTTAACTTTTAATAAAAAAATACTATTTAATCTTGAGTTGTCCTAATTAAATAATTTACTATATTAGAATTATTTTGTATGACATAGCGTATTTTTTGCATATTGAAAAATAATATTATTCGAACATTTATTGTTAAATTATGAGCACTTTTATAATAATATTACACAAACTATAATTATATATAATAAAAATATCAGGTTAAAACAGAAAATAATGTTTAAACGGAATATTCGGTACTACTATGCGGATTAATTGCAAAATGGAAGTGCTACACAAAATTGACCATCTTTTTCTCGTGTGGTTGTTTTTGAAAATTATTCGTCACTTCGTTGTTCTTTAGTTATTGACACAATTTATGTTTCAGCTTTCTCTATAGCCCAAAAGGATGGATTAGATTATCCAGTTTTACTGATCTAATAATAAATTTACAGGTGATATGAGTTTTTTGTGTAACTCACCACATATTGCCCAGCCAGTAAATATGTATTAATCGCTGAAGTTAAACCTTTGTGGTTTACAATACCGCCTCGAGGTCGCATTATGTATGGTGATAAATCTACACCTATTAAAACGTCTATCAGCGAAGGTATATCTAACGCGGGATCCGCTAACAATGAATGTTTATAGGTCTCGTGAATGACGGACGGTAGTGGTGAAGTAGGCATTATCGTTCTTATCTGCTGTAATATTACGAAATCGTTGCCACAAAAAGTTGGCTCCGATAATTGGTGCAGTACGAAAAAACAATTGAATTCTCCACCGACTTCATTTACCGGGTTTTTTTCAAGACCAATAATACTGCATAAACACTTGACCAAGCCTAAATGCACAACGCGTTGTCATTGCAGACACCTGCGAACCACTATCTAGTAAAACACAAATTGTTTGGTAATCACCTCGAATATTATGCGCACGAATAACTGCAGTACCTAAAATGACAGTAGTATTTGACTGCGATAAACCGCAAAATTCTTGAACTTTAGATTTTAAGACCCCGGAAGTTTCACTATTTAAGCTATTTGAGTTATCTGGTACTGAGTTTTGAGCATTCAGGATGTTAGAATGAAGTAAGGTATGGTGACGTTTCTGGCATTTTGAGTATGATAACTTAGATTTGCATTCAGCACGCGATGCATATTACTCAAACACAAAAACATAACTTCTCTTTGACAACGGCTTCACGCCGTTTTTCAATAGTATACGACCGATAAATATTACAACGATACGCTGTATGAGAGTTTGAACAAAATGGGCATTTTTATAATTTTTTGATGATTCTGTAGTTCCGGTTAATAAAATTTGTTATTGTGTATACAATTTGTTACTTAAGTTATTTTTGTTTGCGCGTTCTTTCTTATCGCTATTGTAGCTTTTAATACTTTCTAAAATTCGATAACGCTACCGAACAAAGGAAATCTGATCGTCTATATTTGGAATAGTACACTGCGATACTGTGGCCTAGCATAAACGACGCGTGTCTACGTTTAATATCTTAGCACCCATATAAAATAGTAAAAACCCAGATATATCTTACACACCGAGATTTTTTATGGCTGTTAAAATGTCATTGAAAACATCAATAAAACCATTTAAAGCTGATAGTGATTCTGTAATTATTGGTTTGAAAGGAAACAACCTATCCAAATGTATTGATGCTAATAGTCGTTGATTTTTATACTACTCTATGTGTCATCATAGTTGGCGGTAGAGAGCGGAGAAGATTTTATTGTGATTAACGACGTACCAGATAAACATAATAATAATAAATGAAATTGGTCGATTTTATTAATATTTCTGGCGGAAACAAAAAAATCAAATGTTTCATAGAACAAACGCCATTTTTCAGGATTACCATCAAATTTAGGCAAATAAAAATTCGGCAAATAGGTGTTATATTGTGTTTGAGGCATTAAAAAAATGGGCATACTATTTGTGGAAGTAGTTGACGATAATACTGAATTTATTTTAAAAATAAGCATCTCCATTACATCGGTAACTGAAGAAACAATACACTCGAATTCCTCAACTATGTCTTGATCAACTGAAGCTTCAATCACAGTGTGTTGATTTTCACTAAATTGCCTAACATAGGAGTTTAGTTGACGTTAGTGAATTTTCAACTCGAAATTAGTGATGGGTCTCTCTTAACCATTTCTGCGATTGCATAGTTTTCTTTAATTGTCTTCAGCGCACGATCACATAATAAACAGGCAATAATAAGCGCCTTGTCTTTTTGGCGGGTTCGGTTTTCACACTTTTTCTCGGCATAATTACTTTACCAATATTCGGCCCAAACAATCAAATGTTTGAACAGAACGCCAGGTACTACTGTGTGAGTAAGTTACGTTCGTTTTTGTTGCCTCTAATCACGCAGGAGAATGAAGTAAATAGTAGATTGTATAAAATAAATGTAGGAATATATAACAATTACCCGTGTTAAAAGTATAAACCAAAATATTATAAAGATCAATGTGGGTAGGGGGGACCCCTACCGTATGTTCCTATTGACCCATTTTACCCTGCTCTCTATCTTTCCTTTCTAGTCTATTTACCCACAACTGTCTTTAACTTTAATTTTGCTAATTATCTCAATCCTCTTCTCCTTCTCTTAATATCCTATCCCATTTATTTTATGATCTCCCTAATAATGCCTATTTTTTTAATAGTTGATGAATGGTCTATCTAAACTTAATAACAAATCTATTGGGTCAGACGGTATTTCTGTTAACTTTTTATTCAACCTACGACATTCGATATCCTTTCCACTCTGGATGCTTTTCCAAAAATATCTTGATGAAGGATTTTTTCCATCTATTTTTAAAATTTCCTCTATAACTCTCCTTTTTAAATCTGGTGATCATACTCAAGTTGTTAATTATCGCTTTATTTCTAACCTTTCTCATTTATAAATAATTTTGAGCCCCTTGTCTTTCAATCAATTAAATACAGCACTCATAACATTCTTATTGACGAACAACATGGTTTCCGTCATGGCCGATCTACATTAACATGAAATCTTATATTTCAATCTTTCATTACTGAATCTTTCCTTGTTTCATACTCGAGTAGATGTCATTTATACTGATTTTTCAAAAGCCTTTAATAAAATTAATCTTAATATCCTTTCTGAATTTATATTCCACGCTGGTTTTGGTGAACCACTCCTCTCTTTGTTAATTTCATATTTAACTGAAAGAAAACAGTGAGTAAATATTCAAGGATGGGCTTCTGAAGTGATAAATCCCTCCTCCGGTGTTTCGTAAGGTTCAATCCTATCTCCCCTTCTTTTTTCTATTAATGTAAATGGTGCTAATTCTGTTTTACAGCATGCTAAAATACTCCTTTTTGTGGACGATTTCAAATTATTTATGTGTGTGACTAATAGTTCTGATATTATTTTACTACAAACTGATCTAGATCGCTTACTTAGTTGCACTGAATCAATTGGTTTGACTTTTAATACTTCTAAAAGCTATAAAATGACTTTTTACGTATTTCCTATCATATTCCTTCAACTTACTATATTCATAACTTCCCTATTTCATTTGTCTTTTCTATAGTTGACTTTGGGTTTCGTCTCTCTCCTACTTTAAATATTCGACTTCATATTGAAGAAGCATGTTGTAGGGCTCTTAAAACTTTAAGTTTTATTTAGAGAATCTCTCATGTATTTCACCTCTCAAAACCACCACTAAAAAGTCTTTTTTGCTCATTGTTTCGCCCTATCCTTGAATATGGTTCGGTGTTATGGAATCCTTACACAACTACTGACTCTATGATGCTTGATAAAGTGCAGCGTAAATTTTTGCGCTTTGCTACTCTTTCCCTTATAACCCCCATCCTCCTCATGACTCATGACTCCTATTCAAAATTTCTTACAACTTCTTTCCTTATCTTCCAGAATATATGAAGGGTACAGGGAAAAAACCGACTAAGTCACTTTTTTTCACAAATGAATATTATGGTATCATTAGTTTCAGCTAGAGACACTGCACATTCTGACAGGTCGAAACAGGAAAATAATCAACTATATTAATAGATATTAGCGCTCAAAGTTTTGGTGTACAGGGAAAAAACCGACGAAGTCACGTCGTCCAGTGTACTAACTGCTTAATTCAACATTTTGAGTGTAGATTTCAGTACGATTTTAGAGGTAATTAGAGAAAAGGCAAGTGTTATTAATCTGTTGTTATTGCGGCGTGACCGGCGTTTTTCATAACGTGTTTAACTACAGTTGTTGTATTAATATAGCGTTGTACATAACGGCTTCAAGTTTTTGAATTATATTTGGTAGTTCTTGTCATACAAGCGCATTATGTCTGAAATAAGTGAGTCAGAGGGCAATGTAGTTCTTAAAACTCAAGCACGAAAAAAGAAAAGGACTGGTCGCTTATCAGAAGTAAGTAAAAAAATAAAATTATCGTCACATGAAATGGGAGGTTCTTGCAAATGCACTCGATTGAAATGCTTTGAAACAACATCAGAGGAAGAAAGGAAAATGATACTGCGCCATTTTAACTCACTTAGCTCACATAATGATCAGAATAATTATTTGGCGGGTTTGATTGTAACGCACCCAGTGCAAAAACGCAGGCCTCGACTAAATGAAAGCAGTGCCACAACACGTGATGCTTCTTTTTCGTACAGGGTACGAATCCAGGGTGAAAATTCTGTCCAGAGAGACATACCTGTCTGTGAAAAAGCATTTCGTGCAATTCATGGTATAACACACAGTAAACTTGTTTATATAAAGAACAGTCTAAAGTTATATGGAGTTGCTCCTCAGGATAAGAGAGGTAAACACAGCGCACTTCATAGAAAACTAGCTGATTCGACCACTTCTTTAATTTACAATCATATTTCAAGTTTTAAAGGAAGAAAAAGTCATTATAGTTTGCACGATTCAAAAAAACTATACTTACCAGAAGATCTTAATATAAAAAAAATGTTTACACTCTTCAAAGAACAGCATCCTAATGTACATGTTTCTTACGAAACATACAGATGTATGTTCAACACAAAATTCAATATCTCTTTTGGCTATCCTCGTAGTGATACCTGTGCTATGTGTGATGAATTTAGTGCAAAAATAAAATCTCTATCTCCAGACAAAGACAAGGAAGAAATTAAAAAATTAACGACACTCAATGTTCTTCACAAGAAAAAAGCAGAGAAATTTTATGTTCGAAAAAGGAAAGCAAGACTTGCAGCAAGAAATGACAAGAAAATAGAGGCCATATGCATGGACTTTGCAAAAAATATCTCCATTCCTAACCTTAACACAAATGACGTATATTACAAACGCCAGTTATCCATGTATTCATTTAATATACACGTTTTGTCATCGAACCAATCATTTTTTTATGTGTATCACGAAGGAATTGCTAAAAAGAGTCCCAACGAAATTGCATCTTTTTTATTTCATTTCATCAACAACTACTTGGACGATGACGTAGAACAACTTCAAATTTTTTGCGACTCAGCAGGAGGCCAAAACAAAAATTTTACAATTATTCGTTTTATAAAATTTTTGACAAATAAAAACATTCATGGCCTGAAACAGATAAAAATAACATTTCCAATCAGAGGTCACTCCTACATGGAGTGTGACAAAGATGTAGGCTTATTGAATTTAAAAAGTCCAATGGAAACCCCCAAAGATTTCAGGGAAGTAATTAAAACCTCTCGAGCAAAGCCTTCGCCATTCAAGGTTATAAAAGTTACTCAAAGTCTTATCCTTAACTGGAAGGTCCTACTGTATAAAGAATTTGTGCAAAAATGCCCATTTAAGATTCAACCATCGAAGGAAATTATAGCGTCTGCCATTGATTGCCGCTTAATATGTCATCGCACAACATACAATGGAGCTTTTTTATCTGATGTAATTTGCAGACCATCCAAGAAAGATGTTCATTCGACAGAAAGAGGTGAATTTGCACTGCCTTTGCAACTATACAGAGGTAATTTAACCTTTTTTTATTTATTTCTACGTTTTATTTTATATTTTACAAGCTGTACCTCTAGCTATTTTTGTAATAAAAAACCAACTTCATGATATTAAAATACCCAAATTACAATCCGGACTTTCTCTTTCAGCGCCCATATTGATCAAGAAAGCCAAATACGCTGATCTCATGAGTCTTATGAAATTTTGTAGCTCAAATGCTCAGAAATTTTACCGTAACATGGCACATGAATAGTGATCCATGCATCATTTGTTAATTTTTTTTTTATATCTATATATGCTCAAAGAATAATAATAATTTTGTTTACTATACAAGGTAATAATATTTCATTATTATATTAACAACAATGATAATACTATAAATTACAAACTAAGATAACTGTTATGAAAATGCCATACTTAGTTATTGTTAGTTTTAGATGACTTAGTTGGTTCTTGTCTGTTTTAGATGACTTAGTTCGTTTTTTCCCGGAACAAATGGGGTTTTGTTCGCAATTTTATCATTTACAGTGCCTCAACAAATTATAAGCAAAAAATATGTTTTGCCCTGTTTTGGCGTATTTTTGATCGACATTTAAGTCACTGCAGTACTTAATTTCAGTTGATTGTTTAATTGTAATTGCGTTTTAAAAATAAAAGTTGCATTAACTCTGTTTAAAAAAAAAGTGACTTAGTCGGTTTTTTCCCTGTACCCTTCATATGATTTAAATATTCGTTTCATTTCTAAACTCTTAGCTGGCCTGATTGATTGTTTTGTCCTACTTTCTATATTGAACTCTCGTTCAACTCGTTATACTGCCTTTTTTCTCATTCCTCTTTCATCATCTAATTATACATTTCATTTCGTTCTCCCGCGTCTTATGCTCATTCCAAATAACGATCCTGATTTTTCACATTCTTTTCATTTTTAATTTAGTCATTTAGCTTTCATATTTAATATTTAAATTTATGATAATGTTTATATCTTTATTTGTCTTCATTAAAATATGTTTTATTTTCGGTTTACTGAGTTTAATCTTTACTAAGTTTAATTTTATTTAATAATGTTCAAATTTTTAGTTATATGATTATTTTAAGTTGATCAGTTAACTGCCAAATACATATTATATTTTTTGGGCTATTTCCTGTATAGTTTATAATAAAGAAATAAATAAATAAAATATAAAATTAATATAATGTGATTATGATAAAGAGCTGAATGAAAAAAAAAACTTAATAAATATTTAAATTATAGAAAATAATAGGCAAAAACCTATTTTTAATTGAAATGTTATCAAAAAGAGATATATTATTTTAATAATGACTTTTCAAAATTTGGCTAAGGTTTTATATTATAACGTGGTAAAATAAAATCTTTATATCTATGATTATATTTTTATGATATACATAAATTTAATATTATTGCTTTACTTAAGGGCGCGCGAACGTAATATTTGGTCATGTAATCAGAAAACTGTACTATTTCTGTCATGGTGAACGCTATACACACAATATTCTTTATCAATTTAATAATCGTTTTCTATATGACATAGACACTGGCCACCACTGTATATACCTGTATAATTTTAATATTGTTCCATACTTTTATTTTTTTTTATATTCTATAAATTGTCAAGCCGATTCCCCACTTAAATTGGGAATCGTTGACTATGTGCCTCGTCCTAGTGTGTAAAAAGATTGCAGCTCTCTCCGCTATAAACCACCGTAATAGTATTTTACTACGTGCGTGTAGCCGATATTTCTCGTGTGAATTTGTTGAGTTGTTCGCCATTTCTGGAGCCGAAATCTGCATCTTAGAATGAGTACCATCCAGGACTATGTAGCGTATTTTTTTTATTGATTATAATGTTTTGAGCCTTCCTTGTCTGTTAAAATTTATTTTTTAGCTTCGATGAGAAGCTGAGAAGATATTAGTTTTACTATAATGTGTTTATTTTTTTTTTTGTGTGACTGTTAACACTTTTTCTCAGCTCTCATCGAACGGATTTTTTTCAATGATACGTCAAAAGATCACAAATCTTATCTAGTCGAATACATTACCCTCAAAAATTTCTCTCGTTCCCCGTAAATGGAAGAAACTTCCAGAAAAATTACAAATTTAAAAATCGCTAATTTTCGAAATGTTTTCAATTTTTTTAACTAAAAACTGTGGTAACTTTTTCAAAAATGAACATATCATTATAATTATTTTTTATATTGATGCTTGATGTTTTTACCTATCATTTGGTATATTTTTTTTTTAAATTTGACACTTAACCTGCCCACAGGGAGGGATTTAAAATGACAACTTTTTCACAAAAAATTTACTTTTTCAACTTAACTTTTGAAAATGTTTCGGAAGGTCTGACACTTTTATATATATCTTAAATTAAAGCTAATGTAATGTACTTTATTATGGAAAAAAATTTGACCCCTGGACTTGTCTTCGTGGTGAAAATGGCTACCAAATGCTATTTTGCATTTGTGAAAATTCTCGATTTTATATTTTACATTTTTTACTTTAAAATGCTATAACTTTTTAAAAAATGATCAATACAATTTTTTCATGAGAAGTAGTATTTATATACATCTTTTATTCGGCATATTTTTTTATTTAAATCAAAATATTTCCTTATATACGGGGGGTGTTCAAATCTGAAAAATGCATATAGAAAGTAGAACTTTTTCAACTTAACTTTTGAAAGTGTTCCGGAAGGTCTGACACTTTTATATATATCTTAAATTAAAGCTAATGTAATGTACTTTATTATGGAAAAAAATTTGACCCCTGGACTTGTCTTCGTGGTGAAAATGGCTACCAAATGCTATTTTGCATTTGTGAAAATTCTCGATTTTATATTTTACATTTTTTACTTTAAAATGCTATAACTTTTTAAAAAATGATCAATACAATTTTTTCATGAGAAGTAGTATTTATATACATCTTTTATTCGGCATATTTTTTTATTTAAATCAAAATATTTCCTTATATACGGGGGNACATCTTTCATTGGATATACTTTTTTTTTAAATCAGACTATTTCCCTATATATGGGGGGGCTTCAAATATAAAAAATGCATATAGAAAGTAGAACTTTTTCAACTTAACTTTTGAAAGTGTTCCGGAAGGTCTGACACTTTTATATATATCTTAAATTAAAGCTAATGTAATGTACTTTATTATGGAAAAAAAAATTTGACCTCTGGACTTCGTGGTGAAAATGGCTACCGAATGCTATTTTTGTGTGAAAATTCTCGATTTTATTTTATATTAAAAGTGTATAGATCATCACAATTTTTTTATGAGAAATAATATTTATATCTCTTTTGCATTGGACATACTTTATCTTAATTAGGATATTAATAAGATAATAGCAAATCATGTTTTTTATATCATATATATCTATATATATTTATATATATATATAATTTTTTTTATTAATTACCATAAGCTGTAATTGCCAAAATACAAGGTCATTGGTCAGTGGTGTGTCATGTATACTTAATATATATATATATTATTCCCGTACGGTCCACCCGGCTAGATTACAAAAATTATACGCCGCGCCCGGAGTATACGGACTTGTTTCGGTGTGGAAGATACTACATGTGTAATGTCTTAAAGTTGTAGGTTGAATTTTTTTTTCTTTTCTTAATAATTGTTTTTTTTTCTCTTAATTTTCGTAGTGAGTTTTTCCTTCGGGTTTTGTCTACTATTAAATTAATTTTCATAATTTAATAGAGTTCCCTTAAAAATCAAAATAAATAAAAAACCTTTTTATTGAGAGAATATATTCAATATTCACGTGTATCTTATTTTTTTTTTTTTACCTTTAATAATTTTCCTAGTTTTAAAATAACGGTCTTCGACATATTAATATATGTCCATCACTGGTGACATTAAATAAAATATATTTTGTTTTATTTACAAGGTATTAGTATATTATAGTCTACAACAACAATTTATATTTCAGTATATATCTATATCTTTTTTTCTTATTTAATGATACGCTTTATTTTATCATTGTGTATATTATTTAATTTAATCTTTTTTCTAAAATCCACTTATTGTCTGGATGTATGTTTTTTTATAAGCAAGTCGGTCGCATAGGTGGTTGGTGACCCGACTTTCCATAATGTAAGGGAGCGACGAGGGTAGCAACTCCACTATCCGTTGCGTGGCCTAAGTTGTCACCTCTCAATATAAATAAATATTTTAAAGTTAACTGTAGATAATTCGTTCAAAAATTGTTTACTAAATTTAGAGAATTACACAGAAAAATTCAAAAATCTTTTTAATTGCCATGACACTAAAAATGGAAATTTCCTACCATGATAATTTCAATTCATTGAAACATACTGATTATAAGTTAACTTAATAAAATTATCATTTAAACATTTTTAGATATTAGATGTAAATTAAAAAATTTATTTGATAAACTTATTACTCATCAGTAATTTAAAATCAAATTTACCTTCGTTAAGTATCAAACAGGAAATCATCATATAAAAATATATCACTTGCCAGTTCTAGAAGAAAATAACCTGTTAGAGTGAATCAAGTTCTTCATATAAAATGTATTACTCACCTCCATTTTTACTCTTCTTATTTTTAACTGTGTTTACTCTAGTTTATATACTGAATAACTAATGGCAATCTATTGGTTAAATAGGTATATATATACCTAAAAAAATATTAACATAGTTAATCACTATTTTTTATTATTTATTTTAAAAAACATTTTAAGTAAAACTTAAGTAAATGTACTTTATTATTTACTTAATTATTTTAGTCAACATATTCATACACAGGTAAAAAAATGTTGGCCAAATCGGGATTGGTATAAACACATTTTCACTTCAATAAAATTTAATAAATTACTGATACGTAATACAATTATATATTTACATTTTTATACTACAATGTAAAATTATATTTTTATACTTTATACTTTATATTATTTCGCTTCGATGCAAAGCTGAGAGTATATTAATTTTACCATGATGGATATTTTGTGTGTGTGTGTGTCTGTCACTACATTTTCTTTGCTCTTACTGGAAGGTTTTTTCTTAACGAAACGTAAAAGATCACAAATCGCATTAATTTTATAACATTACCTACACAAATTGAAAAATTACCAAAAAATACCATTATTAAAATCGATATTTTTTTAACATTTGTTACTTGAAACTACTATAACTTTTTTTAAATTAATTTATCAAAATATTTTTTTATATAATTATCTTATATTAACTCTAGTTTCATTTTCACTAACTTAAAACTTTAAGTTAAAAAAAAATTGTCCTGATTACTTGTATGCTATATAAGAGGAGAAATATCAATATTATATTTAGCTATATTGTAAAATTAAAAAATATTTAGTAAAGAAATAGAGTGCTGTATATGAAGATAGGATAAGAAGTGAGCATATAAAAGGGAGTATAGGTGTAGCGTCAATCGTGGATAAGATGATAGAAAATAGACTTAATGGTTTGGTCATGTTATGAAAAGAGAAGAATCAGAAGCCGTAAGAACAGTTATAGAAATGAATGTTGAAGGAAGAAGAGGTAGAAGAAGACCAAAAAAGAGATGGAGAGATGCTATTGAATGCGATTTGAGGACAGCTGATGTGAACGTAGATGATGTGGTAGATTATGTCAAGTGGAAGTTTAGGATTAGGGTGGCCGACCCCAAGTAGTTGGGATTAAGGCGAGGAAGAAGAAGAAGAAGAAGAAGACTGGACTGAGCCATGAGATTTTCTACTTATTCTAACCTAAGCAATTGAATATTATTTGTATTCTTGTTTTATATTAAATTACATTTATATTATATGGAAATGTATTAAGATATTTATATAATGATTAGTTATCATATAAGTGATTCTTTTAGTTTTTTTTTTGAATTTATGTAATATATATATATATGATATGTTTTAATGATTATTTTGTTAAAAGCATAAAATATATTAATAGCAAATGTGAGATACTTCTATTATTATACCAATCCCAATTTATTATTTTTTTGTATGCCATCTTGCAAGATTATATTATGATTATAATATTATTATATTAAGATTATAATATGTTAATATTCGATTTTGACCACAATATATATTATATATAACTATAATATATAAATATGGATAAAATTATTCGCCAATTTTGTAGTGTATGTGAAATATGTAAAAAAAATAATCAAGAAGTAGCAAAAAAATTGGTTTGCTTTCAAAATTAGGACCAGCGACAAAACCTTATGAAATTATGTCCATTGACACAGTGGGAGGTTTTGGAGGTAATAGTCATCAAAAAAGTATTTACATATTTTAGTAGATCATTTCTCGAAATATGCATTTATTTTAACTTCAAAAGGGCAAAGTGCTAAAGATTTTATTAAATTAGTCGATTTGGTGGCAAGACAGCACCAAATAAAAATGTTTTGGCGGATCAATATACAGGGATTAAATCCAAAGAAGTCAAAGATTATATGAAATCAAAGAATATAATATTAATATTTACATCAATTGATTGCCCAGAATCAAATGGATTAAATGAAAGATTAAACCAAACATTGGTAAACAGAATAAGATGTAAAATTAATAGTGGAGAAAAAAAAGCATGGTCTAAGATAGCGGCGGAATGTGTAGAGGAATACAACACATAGTGTAACAAAATTTTCACCGTCTTACTAATTATTTGGTGTTAAGTCTTATATAGTACCAAATGAAATTCAAGAAAAAACTTTTAATTTAGAAAAAGATAGAGAACATGCTAAAATAAATTCTAATAAAAATTATGAAAAAAATAAAAAAAGAGTAGACAAAACAAGAAAAGAACATACATTTAAAGATAATGAGTTAGTATACATAGAAAATGGCAATAAAATGAATAGGAACAAGTTGGATGAAGTTAGAAGAGGTCCTTTCCGAATAATAAAACAAATATCAAATTCAATATATGAGGAAAAAAAATTGTTTCCATAGTAATAAATTAATTCCAGCACAAGATTTGAGTACATAAACTGGAGTTTATGTCTGAAGGAGGAGAGGTATAACAGTGGCGGCACTGTTTATAGGGATACTGTGATCACTGTTGTAATTTGTATTATCATATAGATTTAAGGTGTAAAATCTATGGTAACATTTTTAATAATTAATAATTACTTTTATTTTATATAATTTAAAGATTATAACACGAATCGTGCATATTTATGTTCTATCCTCTATATGGTGACGACCATTGGTTGAGTAATTTCTAACTAGAAANAAAGTTAATTTTTTTTGAAAAAGTTGTCATTTTAAATCCCCCCCTGTGGGCAGAAAAAAAGTCAAAATTACAAAAAAAATATACCAAATAATAGGTTAAGACATCAAGCATCTATTAAAAAAAAATTATATTCATATGTTCATTTTTGAAAAAGTTACGGCACATTTTAGTAAAAAAAATTGAAAAAATTTCGAAAATTAGCGATTTTTAAATATGTAATTTTTTTGGAGGTTCCCCCATTTACGGGGAACGAGGGAAATTTTTTCAATTTTGAAGGGTAATGTCTTCGACTAGATACAATTTGTGATCTTTTGACGTATCGTTGAAAGAAATCCGTTCGGTGAGAGCTGAAAAAAAGTGGTAACAGACACAAAAAAAAAAATAAAAAAAAAACACATCATAGTAAAACCAAAACTTTCTCAGCTTCCCATCGATGCTAAAAAAAAACTCATCATAGTAAAATTAATACCTTCTCAGCTTCGCATCAAAGCTAAAAAATGTTTAAATTATTATTATTCTGCAAGTAATTGAGTGGGTTACGATAAAAAAATCACCCTGTATATTTCATTATTATTTTTGGCCAGTCCGATACATTATGTACGTTATGGCATATTTGAATTATTTTATTTGAAAATTATGGCTTACTTATAATGTTAAGTTTAATTAACTATTCTCTTTGATACTTATGGCTTATTATTATTATTCCGTTCGACTATTTCGACATATTTTTATAATGGCATAATTTTACTCTAATTAACAAAACAATGTTATAACATGACTTATTATTTCGATCGGCTTAGCCCGACATCCCTTTATTTATTATAAATTTTGAAATTATTTTTATTCGATACTAATAGTATCGAATAAAAATAATTTAATATATAATTTGATATAAAATGCACGATACACGAGGTTTAAGAAAATTTGCTTTTTAAATAATCTATTTGAAAAATTAATAGTATAGAATTTTATAAAATTGAGTTTGAAAGAATATTTGTGGCAAATAAAACCCTTGTTTATTATTATTAAATTAAAAAAAATATTTTATTATGGTACTTACGAAATATAATTTCCAACATAACACTCCATGCATCTTCAGTCCAAATAGGTTAAACATAAAATGAACAACACTATACGGTCGCCACATCCCTAGCTATAATTTTACGTGACAAATTTGAATAACGGATTCTATTCATATGTTTATAACAGTCAATCCCTTTGTATAACATATTATGACCTCATTGAATATATATTACTTACATAATTACGATTGTTACTAATAGAGCGAGCTAGTTAATATTATTAAATAAATTTATTTCTTTATAAAATCAATTCGACATGCACGTTTAATATATACATTAACAACTTAACTAAGTTGTTACAGCAGCAAAAATCGTGGTCTTTTAAACAACAGTTATCACGGCTACCCTTATTGCAGTATAGTTATATAAAATAATCGTCTCGCAACTAAGGCGCAAGTCAGCCTAATTCAAAATACCCTATTGTGTATATTTCTTTTTTTTCTATAATAAATGGACACTGAATTTTATAAGATGGTCACTGTGTGTGTTTCGCATATATTTTACTGTATACATTAGTTCTATTATCGAGCATGCTTAACTTAATTTAAGACATCTATTATAAATGTATGCAATTTTTTGACAACGTTGTGGCTACATACATTAGGTTAACTTAACTTATTTTTTATTGTCAAAAATAGCATTAAATTATTTATTATTTTTTTTTTAATTCATTATGCATGCATTGCTTATGATTGTATTCGGTACCCCAACAACCCCTTTTAATTATTAATTTTAATTTAATAATAATCGTTAGCGTCCTGAATAGACCTCGNTAAGCGTTAGTGTTCTGAACAGTCCTCGAGAACACGGAGAATACTCTTTGGGGCCCCGAGACTATTCAAGAAGTCGACGACAGGGCCGGGCTTTTCATAGGAACCGCTTGGTAGCTGACTATTGAGAGCCCACACGAAGGAAGCTCCTCCAACGCTCAAAAGCTTGTAAATTAAGGAGTGTGGACATCAAAGACCCAGAGGTTGTTACAACGACACTAATGTCCCTCCGAAATTTTTTTTTACATTATTTTTCTTTTCCTACGTAGAATTATTTTGCCAAAGTTCTTTTGTTTTGTTATTAAGGTCTAGGGTCAGACCTTAAGTGTAGGGGGAGCAGCTGATACGATCACATTGCATGTGCCCATATCTCTGTCTCCCATGACATCATTGTACCTTTTAATAGACATATATATATAATTAACAAAGTGACATACAACAATACTGACAGGAAGGCGGAATGCACACATAAACACTTTTGTAATTTACGGTCAATGTGCCATAATAAGATATCCCAATCGACAGTTGACCTTTTACCATCATCGCGATCACTACTTTTGTCTGATAATTAACTTAACTTTTCTACCACGTATATAGTGTGTGTGTGTTTGTCGCCATCAGTTCTCTGTTGGATTATATCATCTCTAGGTGTCCAGCAGGTTGTATTATCTATTTAATATTTCAGTCACTTAATAAATATTTATTTATATCGTTGTTAACCAAGAGTGTNATATCGTTGTTAACCTAAAGTGTTATATATATATATTGTAGTGCGACCCTTGGTAGTTCCTCTAAGGGAATATAAATTAAATAGGAAACCTCAGTACCTAAGGTAGATATAGCCTAGCCAGCTATCCCCCGTTGGTCCCTTAGAATACTGTCGTAACACAGGAAAGAGTAAAATGATATAAGGTAAATGTGAAACTATGTGTACGAAGATGAATATGAGGAGGTGGTGCCTGCTGTCTAGGTATTCACGTGCGTGTTGTCGTACAGCAGTCACCGTGCTCGGCTGACACTCCGGGTTAGCTGTGGGTGTCGAAAGGCTGTTGTTATAGGAAGGGAAAATAAGAGTAACACCTAGGTATGAGGTGCAGACGAAGTGCAAGACACAAATACCAGGTATATGCAAAAGGAGCCCAAAGTATGAGGTGCAGACGAAGTGCAAGACACAAATACTTGGGGTATAGGAGAGGACAATGAAGTACGAGGTGCAGACGAAGTGCAAGACACAAGTACTCCAAAGAGAGAACGGGGTAGCCGAGTATAAGGTGCAGACGAAGTGCAAGACACAAATACTAGGCGTACCAGGTGAGGAAAGATAACAGAGTACGAGGTGCAGACGAAGTGCAAGACACAAGTACTCTGAAATGTCGAGGAAAAGAGTATATAGGTTAGAAAAGGAATAAACAAAGACTTTACTTTAAACAGTAAGCCGGACAGCGACAACCGAGTACTGAGACTGATGAATGACACAAGGCACTGGAGTCGACTGACCACGATGGTCAGGTCTATTGGGTTTTTATAATAATTACACTTATTGCCGATTTGGCGATAAATATTATTTGTTAATTCATCAGTCTCAGGCAGCGGATGTGCTGTCTGTATTTTATTAAAATAATTCTCACGATTATGAAAGCGTGACACCATCACAATACTGTTGACGGGCATATAGGCTCAACCCCTAAATAGTGACATAACACTCATTAACGAAATAAAAAAATTTAAGTTTAAACTATAGATAATATAGAATATTGAGATTTAGATGCATTACTAATTACGTAATATAATAAAAAAAATTCGGAAAAATATTTTTTTATGAATTTTAGTTCTACTTTAAAAAAGACACTATTTATTAAGCAAATAAAATGGCATAAATGTAATCAATAAAATTATTGATCATTATTATCATTTTAGCTTAACACGATTTATTTAAAATATAATGTAATTGACTGTAAAAAATAAACAATATTTTATCAGAAAACTAATTAGGACAGTTATTATCATACGCATAACTGGTTATATCAAAAAAGCCTCTTATAGCAGCTTCATAAATAGTATTTCTACTCCATGGACAATTATGCTCATGTGCGTATTTTAAACAATGATACTGACGATTTGCAGCAGCAAGTCTTGTAGTGCCTTCATCCCATTTACAACCATTTTCGTGGGCATATATTAAGCAATTTAAATTACCACGCATGGCAGCGGTAGCGATTGTTCCTTCATCCCAATTACATCCATTTTCATGAGCAAATTTCAGACAACTAATGCAACCACTCGCAGCAGCTTCTCTTGTTGTGCCTTCGTCCCATTCACAACCATTTTCATAAGCATATTTTAGGCATCCTACATTTCGATTCGCAGCAGCCCCTCTCATTGTACCTTCAATCCATTTATATCCATGTTCATAAGCATATTTTAAACAGTCTAAATTACCATGCACGGCAGCTGTAACTAATGTTCTTTCATCCCATGGACAATCCTTTTCATGAGCATACTTTAAACAGTCTAAACAACCACTAGCTGCTGAAGCTCTAGTTGTGTCATAATCCCATGAACATCCATATTCATGTGCATATTTTAAACAATCAAAATTCCTTGTAAAAGCAGCAGCTTTAGTTGTTCCAATGGCCCATTTACATCCGGTTTCATGAGCATACATTAAGAATTCTAAATTACCATAAGTGGCAGTGACACTTGTTGTTTTTTCATCCCATGGACATCCATTTTCATGAAGATATTTTAAAATGTCTAGGCTACTTCTTTTTATAGCAGCACTAAGTATACCGTCATCAAATGGACAACCATTTTCATGTGCATATTTTAAAATTTCTAAATTACCTTTTTCGGTAGCCACTTTAGTTATGCCATTATCCCATGGGTATCCATTTTCATGTGCATATTTTAAAATTTCTAAATTACCACTTTCAGTAGCCACTTTAGTTATGCCATCATCCCATGGGCATCCATTTTCATGTGTATATTTTAAAATTTCTAAATTACCACTTTCGGTAGCCACTTTAGTTATGCCATCATCCCATGGGCATCCATTTTCATGAGCATATTTTAAAATTTCTAAATCGCCATTTTTTGTAGCTGCTAATGTTATACCATCATTCCATTGACAACCATTTTCATGTAAATATTTTAAAATTTCTAAATCACCATTAGCAACTGCTAGTTCCATTATTGTATCATCTAAATCACATTTATTTATATGTGCATATTTTAAGNATCTAAATCACATTTATTCATATGTGCATATTTTAAGCAGTCCAAATGGCCATTCCCAGCAGCAATCCTTGTTATTCCTTCATACCAAGGACATCCATTTTCATGGGCATATACTAGACATTTTAGATGACCATTAGCAGCAGCTTCTCTAATAGTATATTCATCCCATGGACAATCATTTTCATGTAAATATTTTAAAATTTCTAAATCACCATTAGCAGCAGCTAATTCCGTTATTGTTTCATCCCATTCGCATTTATTTACATGTGCATATTTTAAACAATCTAAATGGCCATATTCAACAGCAACTCTTGTTATATGATCATCCCAAGGACAACCATTTTCATGAGCATATTTTAAGCAATTCAAATGACCGCCTACAGTAGCAACTCTAGTTGTTCCTATATCCCAGTCACATCCATTTTCATGGGCATATTTTAAACAATTAATGTACCCTCCTAACGCTGCAGCTCTTGTTGTACCTTCATCCCATTTGCATCCTTTTTGATGGGCATATATTAAGCAATCTATATAACCACCAGCTGCAGCAACTCTGGTTATACCCTTATCCCAATGACATCCATTTTCAACAGCATACTTTAAACAGTCTAAATTACCTCTTTTAGCAGCATTTTCAGTTGTGCCGATGGCCCATTTGCATCCATTTTCATGTGCATATTTTAAGCATTCAAAATGTCCATTCTCTGAAGCAACCCATGTTATACTATCATTTAATGGACATCCGTTTTCATTAGCGTATTTTAAGCAATCTAAATGTCTATTCTCAGCAGCAACCCATGTTATACCATCATCCCATGGACATCCATTTTCATGTGCATATATTAAGCAGTTTAAATGACCCATTGCTGCTGAAACTCTAGTTGTACCTATATCCCAGTCACATCCATTTTCATGAGCATATTTTAGGCAATTAATAAAACCTCCTATCGCTGCAGATCTTGTTGTGCCTTCATCCCATTTGCATCCTTTTTGATGGGCATATATTAAGCAATCTAAATTACCTCCTAGAGCAGCAAATCTACTTATGCTATCATTCCAGGGGCACCCATTTTCATATGCATATTTTAAACAATCTAAATGACCATACTTTGCAGCTGCTTCAGTTGTGCTTTCATCCCATGGACATTCGTTTTTATGTGCATATATTAAGCATTCTAAATGTCCATATTCAGCAGCAGCGATTGTTGTTCTTTTATCCCATTGACAGCCATTTTTATGCACATATTTTAAGTTTTCTACATTACCATATTTTGCAGCTGCTTCGGCTGTTCCTTCATCCCAAGGACATCCATTTTCATGAGCATATTTTAAACACTCGAAATGTCCATTTACTGCAGCGTCTATAATTGTGCCTTTATCCCATGGACATCCGTTTTTATATGCATATATTAAGCATTCTAAATGCCCATATGCAGCAGCAGCGCTTGTTGTTCTTTTATCCCATTTACAGCCACTTTTATGAACATATTTTAAGTTTTCTACATTACCATTTTTTGCAGCTGCTTCGGCTGTTCCTTCATCCCAAGGACATCCATTTTCATGAGCATATTTTAAACACTCGAAATGTCCATTTACTGCAGCGTCTATAATTGTGCCTTTATCCCATGGACATCCGTTTTTATGTGCATATATTAAGCATTCTAAATGCCCATATGCAGCAGCAGCGCTTGTTGTTCTTTTATCCCATTTACAGCCACTTTTATGAACATATTTTAAGTTTTCTACATTACCATTTTTTGCAGCTGCTTCGGCTGTTCCTTCATCCCAAGGACATCCATTTTCATGAGCATATTTTAAACAGTCAAAATGTCCATTTTCAGCAGCGTTTCTAGTTGCATTCTCGTTCAGTTCGCAACTACTCTTATGAGCTAGTTTTAATGTTTCAATATCACTAACTTTAGCAGTTTTTCTTTTCGTATCTTTTTCAAACGGGCATATATTTTTTTCACTTGAATATTTAATTTTAATACCTAAGTAAACACAATAATTTATACATTTTTGCTGTATTCAAATTTCGACTAAATTTCTAAAAATGTCTCTTTAAAAGAGTTACATTTCATTATAGTTCTAATTTTAGTTTATTTTAAATAATATAAATTATGATACTTGTGTTTTGCTCTCTTCTCGTTTTTGTCTAGTTATAAATATATTTCTTTTAAACATAATAGTTTATTTTAAAAAATGTTATAAAATTTAAATATTTTTTTAATTAAAAAATAATAAAAATACTCTCAATATGACATTATTGTAATTCAGTAATTGTTTCAAATGAATAGTCGACGATTGTAGAATTATTTTGTATATTATTAACGTATTTTTATGCGTATTACAAAGTAGTATTTGGTTAATAATTTTTCAATTGTTAGGACACAATCACAATAAATAATATCAAAAATTTTGATTTTATAAACAGATTTTATAACTTTTCATTGACCATGTCAAAATAATATTATATAGAGAAATAAATGTAGCATTATAATCAACATAATTTAAAACTTATTTTACTTTCGTTAAGTCGTTGGTATTTGTTGTACACCAAATTTTTATGACAAGTCTTTATATAACCATGATTAATTAGACAAAGATGTTTCTTGTACTTTATGAAATAGGGAAAATGATTTTTGATGTGAAAGAAATACTATATATACCATTTCAATAAAGATGAAATACCCAAGAACAAAGTTTACGATTTAGTAAAATTTTAATTTTATCAAATAAAAAAAATTAAGTTAATACGAGGCAAAAAACTGAATGGTCAACACAACCTCATTTTTATATTATTATGCACAAAGAGAAAAGAAAAAAAATCATATAATATTAAAAAAAATTATTATTTTATTACACCTATAATTTTATAATTAGAGAAAGTGATGAACATCTTCGGGTACTTAATTGTCATCGAGTACGATATTACCATTTAGCACGGCGGATATATGCCTAAGTAAGTGACTAATTTTAAACAGTTAGACTTACAAACAGTGAAACTTGGTAGTTTTAACACACTGGGTTACCGCGGAATAAAATACACTACATCACCACATTTTAATAATAACTTTGGCACATCACCCATTTTAATAAAATAAATAAATCTTATAAAAAAAAAAATCTCACTGAAAAAATATAAACATGACAAATGGTATTTTAACACGCTAAACATATTAAATACGGTTAAAGGACCTATAAAATATTTACGATTTTTCACACGTGCTTATGGCACGACGATACACTCAAAAAATAAACTTATAAAAAATATTCTGGCTCAACACATTATAAGAAAAATATACATTACGTAGCAATAGTGATTTTTGGTTGTGAGCGTTGCAACCAATTGTTTTTTTATATATGTTTTTACGTGAGTGTCCGCTATTTTTTAGCTTCGATGCGAAGCTGAGAAGGTATTGGTTTTACTATGATGTGTTTTTTTTTTTTTTTTTTTT